AGAAAGAAATAAATCTTTTTATTACAAAAAATTTCTATAACAATTTATTTTAAAAGTAGAAAATTTTTAAATATTTATAATCAAAAATTTTTTAAAAACTTTTTTTTGATATTGATAATAAAGATATTTGATTACAAGAAGACATGCTTTTGATTAAAAAGATTTGTAAACAAGAAAAAAAGATAGATGTACCTCTTGATAATATTTCCAAGTTATTTAAAGAAAATAATAAGACAAGATTTTATTTATTATATTTATAAATAATTTATTATTCTAAACTATTAATTAATCAAATTTTATTTAAATCATTGTTTAAAGAGATAATGAAAAATGTCTTGTATTAATATAGTATTAAGAAAAATATATTTAAAGAGTTAGTGTATAAATCATACAGTAGTACATCGACCTCGATTTTGCTTGTTGTAGTTTAAGTAATTTTTATTGAAAATTTAAAATAACAAACCATAAACATTTCAAGAAAAGGATATTGAATTATGGTAAATCGGTAATTTTATATGAGCATCAAATTGGAAAAAGAAACTTTCAAGGTACTGTGGCACAAATAATTATAAATAGTTGAAATCTCGATTTACTTTTAATTCCTAATTTAAGTTTAATTACACCGTGATCAGGATCTATTCGACAACAACGTGCGGTACGTAGAAGGTCGCTTTAGACGGTTACTCGATCGAGATCCATTTAGTTTTCATGTTTTCTATATTTGACATTTGGTCATAAGAAAATCAATGACCAAAAGGTAAAGCTCACAAAAATACTGTAATTCGGTAGGATAATGGCATTTTGAAAGGGTATTACACGTTATCATATGCATATTCATTATCATTTTGCATCACTCATTTACAATATGTACGCATGTACACAAGCATCGGAAATCAAAGTTTGCTGTGCCGTGTGCACACGTGCTTTTTACCTGATAATCTTGAGTGTCGGAAGGAAAGCGTACGGTACAGCCACAGACTGTTACTTATTATTAAATGTGAGACCCTAGGACGCGTAAAAAAATTTATTCCTTTCCCTCAAAAAAAAAAAAAAAAAAAAAAAAAAAAATTCCTGCTCTCAGGATTCTTTATGAACACTGCGTAGGAAACTCCGTTGTCATTAAGGATTAATTCGGACTGCAGGGATCTGTGACGCGAACAAATGTTTCAAGATGATGATAAATTGAATGGATGTGTGCATTTATCGGTAGTTCACCAATAACACCTGCCAACTTCGGCTTCTGTGAGATGTACGACGAAATGCCGGGATCGACCTACGATATAATAATATTGTGCGTGCGTACGTACAATGAACAATGGAAGACGACGCGTTATGTTCTCTCTATTACACAAACCCGGTGCCAT